GGCCAGGTGAAGTCCAGAGGTCCAGAATGCAGCGCCAGGTGACCGGGAGGGGGCGGAGCTGCAGCGCTGGATGAGGTCCAGGGGGGCGGGGTGCAGCGCAGGGTGGGGTCCAGGCAGCGGAGCCCGCAGTGCCGGGTAAGGTCCAGGGAGCAGCGACGCAGCGCCAGGTGACGCCGAAGGGGCGGAGCCACAGCGCCGGGTGAGGTCCAGTGGGGCGGGGTGCAGCGCAGGGTGGGGTCCAGGCAGCCGAGGGAGCAGGGACGTAGCGCCAGCTGACGTCGAAGGGGTGGGGCCGCTGTGCCGGCTGAGATCTAGGGGGCGGGGGCGCAGTGCGGGTCCCCCCCGTGAGGTCCGGGGGGCGGGGCGCTGCCCCACAGCTTACCCACTGCCAGGTATTTGGGGCCGAGGCGGACGCCCCCTCAGGGCCCTCGGGAAGGTGTCCTGTGTTCAGTGCTGTGTGTCGTGCTTGCCCACAGCTGACGTGGCGGCCTGCACTGTCATCCGTGCCCATGGCACCGTGCCTGCCCACTGTGTCTGATGTGGCTGGGTGTGTGGTCACGCATGCCTGCTGTGTCTCAGGTAGCTGCGGGTGTGGTCAGGTGTGCTTGCCATGTCTGATGTAGCCACGTGTGTGGTCATGCAAGTCCACCATGTCTGGTGTAGTTACATGATGTCATGCCTGCCTGCCATGATGCACATAGCCGTGCATGTTGTCATGCGTGCTCGCCGTATCTGACATAGCCTGGTGTTGTCAGGCATGCCCAGAATGTCTCATGTAGCTGCATGACATTCCGTGTACCTGCCATGTCCGACATAGACGTGTGTTGTCACACATGCTTGGTGTGTCTGACGTGGACATGCATGTCGTCACGTGTGCTCACTGTGTCAGATGCACCTATGTTGTCCCCTGGGAACAGCTGCCTGGCAGGTAGAGGCCAAGAAGCCCAAACCAGATGTGACACACATCTGTTGAGGTGGGCTCTGCTCCGGAGCGACCTAGGAAGTGGTGGCCTGTGGACCTTGTGAAGGGTTCATGGTCCTGCCCTGCCCCAGGGGTGCCACCTGGTCTGAGTGGAGTCACAGCTTGACTCATTTTTTTTTTTTGCTTTTATTGTTTCAGACTTTTATTTATTTCCATCCTTCACAAGCCAGACTGTTTCCTTGATACTAAGTCAAAACGAAAATGTAAGATTTTAAGGTTATCCCCCCATTTCTTTATTTGTCTGTAGTGTTCTCTCCCTTCCCTCCCACCCCTGGTAATCAACAAAGAAAGTCTTCTTTTGTATATAACCCTTTCTTTGACTTCTTACAATAGTGAACTAATACTGTATCTGTCATAACTTGACTGACTGACTTCACTCAGCGTGAGGTCCTCCAAGTTCATCCATGTTATGCAGTGTTTTGCAGATTCTACGTTACTCTTTAGGGTTGCATAGTATTAGGTTATCCATTCTTCTCACCTAGGTTGTTTCCATCTTTTGGCTATTGTAAATAGTGCTGCGATGAACATGGGTGTGCATATGTCTGTTCTTGTCATGGCTCTCATTTCTTTAGGATATATACCTAGTAATGGAATTGCTGGGTCAAATGGTATTTCTAATTCCAACTTTTTAAGAAATTGCCATACTGCTTTCCCAGATCCAC